ATCTATCATACATAACATAACATCAGAGGTTGGGTCACTCACCGATTTCTGCTTTGATGCACAAACCCTCTGAGTTTCTGATCGGTTCCTCCTTCTCAACATCAAACTTGATCAACATGCAGGGAAAGATAAACTGGGAGGAAAAAAGTGGAGCGGAGCTGTTCAGAAGTAAAACACTAAATGCTGTCAAATAACAGTCTGTCACATGATTTAAAGGAAGCATAACCAGTTCATCTCTACAACAAGATTTCATTCTGAGATCATGATGCTGGAAACATGATTATTTTTCCCCGTTTTGAGCGAACTACTCTTACCCTGTGCAGGAAATTGATCCGTCCCACGGCTCCGATCTTTGAGGTGTAGTTGATGAAGCCGATGTTCCCCTCGGTGGCGGCATACAGCTCTCTGACCTTAATGTCCCCGAATCGATTCAGGAACTCCCTCCAAACATCGGCTCGGACTCCGTTCCCGATGGCGATTCGGACTTTGTGGTTCTTCTCGTTCTCTTTCTGCACAAGCAAAAGAATTGGAAGTGGAGAAGTGCAGAAACTTCCCAGAAAGGGTTAAAAAAAGTCTCACCTTGGGCATGTTGCAGAGATAACGCAGCGTCTCGCCGATGTACTGCATCACCGTCACGTTATACTTCCTGCAGTCGTCCCAGAACTGAGAGGCGGAAAACTTTCTCTTCAGCACGATGGTCAGACCTGGAAAAATACCAGCAGATCAGGAGTCGTCCAAGCCTGAAGCTTCCGGCGCTTCTCTTGAGTCCTTACCTCTCTCGATCCCTCCGGCCAGCCCGATGAGGAAGCCAGCGCTGTGATACAGAGGCAGGTTGAGGTAGAAGATGTCCTCTGCAGTGGTTCCAGACGCCGCCTGGACGAAGGAGGCCGCCCACACCCTCTCATGGGTGACGACGGCTGCTTTAGGCAAACCTTTAACAGTCAGAGTGAAACGCGTTATAAAGATCTGTTCTTATCCTCTGAACAAGAAGCTGCATCCATCAATGCTTAGAAACAGGAGCGGATGTAGGAAATGTGGGGCCCTAGGCAAAAACAGGCAGGGGGCCCT